CATGGGAGGTGATTTTAGACTTTGAGCTTGTTTGGAGTCCATGTGGAAAGAGGGTCTCAGTCAGGTTCCTATGGGAAAGGTATCCCCCACCATAGAAATCATCCACATATTTTGTACCTTTATTAACAGCCTCAGCAAAGAAAGTTGGGACTGAATAGACCATGTAGTCAGAACTCCCTTCTCACCCCTAGGTGAGAAGGCCCCTCCCAGGGAATATGCAAGCTAACTTCTTAGGGAAAGATCTAACAATTACTTATTTGATTGTATGTTCTTGGTCAGGTACCATCGTGTTGTGTGTTTATACAGTGCCTAGCACCATGGGGTCTTAGTCTGACTGGGGTTCCTAGGCTCTACTGTGCAATTCAAATGATGAAAATAAGAATGCGATGAGTAACATTACACAACTCAAGTATCAGGGGGTAGCCGTGTTAGTCTGAAGAAGTGGGTTTTTTACTCACAAAAGCTTATGCCCAAATAAATCTGTTAGTCTTTAAGGTGCTACCAGACTCCTCGTTTTTGTTACATAGATTCATAGATTCATAGATTCTAGGACTGGAAGGGACCTCGAGAGGTCATCGAGTCCAGTCCCCTGCCCACTGGACATAACTCGTCCTATTGCAGTTAAGGGGAACTAGTCAGGTGAGTGAAGTTTATGCATGTGCATATGTGTTTGCAGGATCAGAGCTTTGGAGCAAGGACTGTGTTTTAATTTGTATTTGTACAGCACATAGCGCAATAGGGGCTTGATTCTGACTGGGGACTCTGAGAGCCACTATAATATAACTATTAAGGCACAGTTTGAAACTGCGGGAGTATTTAAGTGCACTGTTGCCTAAGCTATACCAATTCTGTGGATGAATGAGGACTTCAGTTTTAGGGTCATCAATCCAATATCTTTTTGAAAAATAGCAATAGGAATTAAGTCTCTTAAAGTTAAACAGCTCAATAGCTTTTACTTTATTTTATTTTTTTTAAAGAAAAGTGAAATGCACCAATTCCCAGAAAGGACTGAGGGTGGGGGGTTAATCTTCAGCGTGCTGCCTGAGAATTTAGCCTTGGGAGTTCCATTATTGCTAATGGGACTCATGCAGCTTAATTTCATGCAAGCTACACTAAAAATGTACCCCTAGCTGTCTGCAAAATTTCAGTTCTGAAATCAAGCCTCTTAAAAGTTAGAGCAGGATAAACAAACACCTGAAACACTCCCCCTCCCGCCACAGTATTTTCTTCTAGTTCACTTTTTATTAAAAAAACAAAGCAAGACAAAAACACACAACAGCTCTACGGATTTAAGCAATTTAAAAGGGGGAAATATGTATCTGCGCTGACAGCCTGCATGCCAAATTTCAGCTTGCTGCCAATTAAAGTGGCAGAGTTATAACCCCATTTTTTTCAGGGGTTTAGTTGATGCCTTATCTTTAACTATGCTACTGTGAATGCCACACTGTAATACTTATCTAATAACCCTCCGCGCTGTATCCTTCATTATGGGGCCTCTGTTATTAGGCTGTTCTTGTTAAATGACTGCTATCATCTGGCCCCAAAATACATCAAATCCCATTATAATTATAAACACACTTCCCTATAACATTCTCTTTAGATTACATTCACACTGCTTTACCCCTCAGGGTATCTTCGTACTAATACCATTCTTATTTGCTATTTTAGCTGACAATATTGGGTCCTACACTATTTGCACCATACAAAGGGAGAAGGAAAAGTCTTTATAGCATTCCCATTACAGATTAATATTTTGATGTCCCCTGGAAACCTAACTTATCTCTTTTATTTCATTCACTCTCCCCTGTTAGATAAGGAGACCTGGCTTTTAAGATGTGTTGAACTTTGGCACCGAAGTAGGTGGGAGACTTGGAGTTTATGAATTGCACCATTCCAGTATCTCCACTCCAAGAGTAGCTTTGTAAACAGGAAGTTTGGAGTAACCCGGAGTCTGTCCATCTCTCTCGCTTTTTTTAAATCCTTTCTTTTTTTAGAGGCTGCGGTAGTAAATCTTTGCTCCAGACTTCACCCACCAAAGCTTATGCTCCAATACGTCTGTTAGTTTAGAAGGTGCCACAGGACTACTTTACTGCTATTCTTATGTCACAAGAACCTGCCCTTCCTCTAAACGGTGCTTGTTTGGGGGTAGTGTTTTTATCCGGGCAAAATAACCCTTATCAAGCCGACATTAAACTCTAACAGAAACAGTTTCCAGACAAAATTTGGCACCAAGCCCATGGGTTTGTCTTTGTTACCTTCTCCTTCTCTCAAATTCAGGCTTCAGTCTCCCTTTACCACTTACTAGCAAGGGGCTGGGCTTTCAAAGCGCAGAGCAAGGGAGATTGCTTGTATAAGGAATCTTGGGGACTGTTCTGGCTTTCTATTGTTTCAAGTGGCCTTCTCTGATTTGAGGATTAATTGAAGATTAGGATCGGCGGTTAATTGTGTATTTCTCCGTTTGGGAAGATAGGCTCCCTCCTAGGGTGAGTCTGCAGCGAGTTAAAGTCATTGCGAGGCAAGGCAAGCTGCAGAGGACTGAATGACAGACAGCCTTATCGTTCGCCTCAATGCAGTTGTCACATTAGAAGTTCAACAAGTTTAAAATGTATCTTTTTTAACTTGTCTGTGGCGCAGTCAATTATATCCGCCTGCTTGTTAGGCAGCTTTTCGATTTAATGATTTCATTATTAACACGCTGGGGTTTTAACCCTGTCGCTGCTGCTCCCACCGCATCCCCAGCTTTCGGGTGTGTTAGTAGGTGCGGAGGTAGGGGTGTGTGCGTGTGTGTGTGTGAAAGAGAAAACGCAACCTCGCATCCTGTGCATTAAAGTTGATACTACTCAATGCCTTGCATGGGGTGCATTAATTAAGACGCGGATTAATTTAAACCCGGCTCTTTACGATTGTGTTATGGCTTCTTGGCTCACGCACTTAACGAGGCGTCGGGAGTTGATCTGCAAAGCCCTGTAGCTTGGTTTCCGCTGCTGGGCGGCGGCGAGGTGGAGCAGGATGCGAGGAGCAGGGAGGAGTTGGCTGCCAGGCGTGCGGGGGGAGAGGAGACAGTGCGGCAGGTGTCCAACCTAGGAGCTGCGTTTGCGGCCAGGGATCAAAATCCAGCCGCCGTCGGGTGACCTACCCCAGTGGCAGGATTAAAAGGGAGCGAGTGCGGGGCTCTGGTGTGTCAAACCACCCCGCCAGAGCCCGGCCTCCGAGCCACGTTTCGTGCCACGCGCTGGGGGGTGTGTGGACGGGTCTGTCTCGCGTCTGTGCACCTTGTCCTGAAGCCATCCTGCCTGCCCCATCCACCGCTCGGGAGACACTGGTTCTGGGAGCGCCCCGCTCCGCAGGGCACCTGTCCACACGCTGCTCCGTGACACCCCCCCCTCGCTGCCCCAGCACAGGCGCTGTCGGGGGGGGGGTGCAGCAGGTGCGCCCTCGGAGCTGCTCTAAAGCCGGATTGGCGGCATTGGCTCCGGTTCATTGATTCCCAAAGGCAGCCTCCTGCTCCTCCATGTTTGTTGTTGGCAGAGGCCAACGGAGCCAAGCGCTGTCCAGCAGCCCTCGGGATCCGCTTCCCCCTTCCCTCCCCATCCCCTCCTGCCGATCTCCCAAGCCAGGCAGCAGGAGCGAACCCGCGCTCCCTTCCTCCCTCCCCCCATGCAACTTTTCGGTAACTTCCTTCGGGATGGGGCAGGAGCCGAGCCAAGGGCTTCCCCCCCCCCCATCGCTGCCAGCATCTCCCGCGGGCTGGCACGCCTCTGCCCAGGACTTGGGGACCGATCTGTCTGGCGGAGCAAACCGAGAAGCGACACCCCCCCGCCCCGCTTGCATCTCCCCAGCTCCGGGCAGGACAAGCTGTCAGGAGACGCGGCTGGCTTGGGAGGGGCGGTTCAAGGGACTGGCGAAGGAGGGATGCTCAGGGGAAGCGGTTCCCATCTGCGTTCTCCTAATCCGGAGCCTAATCCGGAGCCTAATCCGGCTGGCACAGAGCTCTGGCTTGGTCCTTCCACACGGATCGCCCCGGTGCGATTCCCGAGGGAAAGGACCCGGAGCTTTCTGTGGCGTCCCACTCTGAGCCCGGTTTCCTTCGCCTTTCGCCTCAGTATGGGGAACGGGTGCCCAGCCCAGCCTCACAAAATGCTTCTCCTTCACCCTGCAAGGCGTAGTTAACGCACAGAATAGTGTAAACCCGGCGTGTCCTGTCTCCGCAATCCGGCTGAGAACAGTCCGCTCCCTCCTTGGAAACCAACAGCTGCATTGCACGATTCGCGGACTAAATCCTAACACAGGGCTGCAGAGAGACCCGAAAATCAACCCCCCCCCCGCCCAATCAGCCCTGCTAACCGAGGAGATCAAGTTTGAATGGGGGGGGCGTGTGGGATTTGGGGGGCAAGGGCTAGTCACTATTTCATCTCGTCCTTTCCGAAGTAGTCCCTCAAGTATGACTAGGTTAGGGGGGGAACCCCCCCAACCCCGCAGTGTTGCAGAAATGGGAGGAGGGCAGGCACCCGCTTCTGTTCCAACTCCAGCTCCCCGAGAGGAAGCCCAGGCAGGGGAAAGTTTCACTCCTTGGAGCAGCTTCCCTGGCAGAGGCCCAGCCTCACACCTGGGCCCCTGGACATTTCCCAGCCATGCGGAGCGCCCCCAGGGTGGGTGTCCGGCAAGTTTTCCCCTCCAGGCTCTCCCCCAGCCCCCCTGGCCGGGTGGAGGCTCCCAGCAGAGACCTCAGCCGCTCGGGGGTCAGTTTGGCTCCGAGGTGCGTGCGGGGGGCCGCTCTGGCTGCAAGGCGCTGCGCCCATGGGTGGGGGGCGGGAGCCGGGTGGGGGGCAGCGGTGTGGGCACGAGCCCCGTGCCAGCAGTAAAGATGGTGCCCGGGCCGGGCTTCGCTGGGGTGGGAGCGGCCCTGACGCGGGGCGCAAGCCGGCACGTCAGTCAGCGCGGTGTTGATTTGCTAACCTTAAAGCAGAGAGGAGTTGGAGAGGGTGAGAGCGGGTACTGCGAACTGCCGGATTATGCTGCGGCGGCTTTAATAACAAGCAACAGTTCCCCCGCCAAGCCCGGCCGGTGTATCCACCGGCGGCTGGGAGCCTCCTGCCATGCCCCAGACAGTGAGTGCCCAGGGGCGGCTTTCAGCAACTGGCTGGGGGGCTCTGGCGAGCAGGGGGCGCGGGGAGGGGTGTTCGTGTTTGCTCGGGAATGGATGCACGGGGAGAGAGATGCAAGGAGATCAAGGGTCTTGCCTGTCAGTTCTGCACCTCGCCGGCTCCCCCTTGGGGAAACTGGGGGGTGACGGGCAACTGGACATTGAGGGAGGGGGTGCTTGCAATGGGAGAGGGAGGACTGGGGACGCTTTGGGCTCGGGGTGGGGGGGGAGCTGGCAGGCAGATGAGAAGCAATTGTTGTGATGTTCTGGCTAATATGTATTCTGAAGGGCTCGCGGGAGAGAAATGTGACTTCCCCTCCTTATTTCTTTGGTGCGTGGGGAGGTGGAGCCCTGTGATGGTTTCAGAGCGAAAAAGCTCGCTTCTGGGCTGGGGAGGGTTAACGGGAGGGTTGGGGAAGCGATTTTCCTCTTTTTCTTCTTCTTCTTCTTTTCATTTTAGTTTTGCAATTAGCGTCTCGGGAAGGTTGGGATCGAGCCGGCCCCTTCGCTTTTCTCTCCCTTCAGCCTTCCTTGCTTGGAAAGAGGCAATTTAAAAAAAAAAAATGTTTGGTGCCCGGTGTTGTAATGCAAACGCCTTTGTGCGGTCTAAAAATAACCCCCCCCCCGGCTGGGTTGGTTCCAGCCTTTGCACCTGATGAATCTTGGATGCCTTGCAAATACAGCGGGGTCTGCCTTTTAATTGTCCAGCTCAAAACTTCCTTCGCCGGGTGCAAATCTCTATCCCTGGCGGTCGCTGGCCAAGTTGGGAGCGAGCAGGATAAACAGCCAAGCTGGAATATTGTTTTCACCTCTCAGCTCACGGTTACATCCCACACTAGAGCTCGCTTTCCTCCCCGGCCCTACGTGACAGCTCCACGGACGGGGCTCAGTCCATGGTGGGGTTGCTACATGTAATTCAGGCTGGTCTGCATTTGAGCTTGGTTATATCTGGCCAAGTGCCGTTTAGTTGAGACAAATACCCTCACCCGCCACCCCCAGAGAGTCGTGTGAGTGTGCAAGCAACTTTTGCGAGAATTACAATATTTTGCATCCCATCTTCCCATTTTCCCCTTGCTCCCTCTGCGCGAGGAAGTGGGCGCTTGTCCCCCGGTTTAACCAGTCAGCGCAGGCGGTGGGTTCGGGGTGAGGGTGGATTTCAAACGCTGTTTGGGTTATTTTTATGTCTTTCTTGGATTGTGGTGGTTGAAGTTTGTTGAAAGCGACCCGAGCAGGGCGGGGGGGACGGGGACTGGTGATTATCTTGTGCGATAGAAGCTGTGATTTTCATTGGCTCCAAAGTGCGGAGCTGGGCTCCCTCCTCTGCCCAATAACTAAAACAGATGCTGCTGGTTTCCCCGTGATTTGTGTTGGTGGATGTGTGGGTCCCGGAGGGGGTAGGTGTTATCTTGGGGGGGCTGGGGGGCTGCTTGCGGCGGGGGAGGGGGAAGGAGGGACACACGCGGCTGAAACTTGGTCTAACAAGCCCCAGTCCGGAGCTGATAAAGGATTTTAATAGTTCACTCATTAACCCTTCCAGCTCGCCCCTGGCAGCTTTGTTCTCGGGCGAGGTGCCTCTCCCCAGGGCTAAGGGAAGGCGGACAGCGGCGGCTCTGATGCAGAAGCCCCAGCTTTAGCGCCGGGTTGGGGGCGAAGCTTCGCTGCTTTCCCCGGGGCTTCCCCATCCCTGCCCCGATCCAGCATGTTTCTGCCCGCGGCAAGGTGCGGGGGGCAGCTGGGGCCCCCAGGTCGGAGCCCCCGAGGCTGGGTTTGGGGGCGGGGGTGGGAGCCGGGGCTTGGAGCCCCCTTTGGAGGGTTTGGAGCCCCCTTTGGAGGGTTTGGGGGTCTCGCTCGAAGGCTGAGCCTGGGGGTGTCTCTGGAGCTGGGTTGGGGGGGGGTCAGGCCCGGAGGAGGGGAGTCTCCAGGAGGGCGCCGATCTGAGGGGTGCCTCGGGATCCCCCTGGAGCCGCTCCCCCGTCCCCGCTCGCTGCCCGCGGAGTTTGCCCGGGGACAAAGGGGGTAGGAGCGGCCCTGTGGCGGACTGGGGCAGCGGGGCCGGCTGCCCTGGCCCGGGGTCCTGGGGCGGGGTGGGGTGTCCGCCCGGCGGGACCCCTCTTGCTTCACGCCCGCTAGGGGGCCGGGCACCAAGCGTGCGTGGGGAGGGGGTGAGCCGGTAGGGTGGGAGAGGAAGCGAGTCCCCAGGGCACAGACCCCCCCCTTCCGCGGGGACACGAGGGGGCAGCGGGGTGGGGCCCAGAGGAGCACAGCCCCCCCCTTTCCCGGGGGTACGAGGGGGCAGCGGGGTGGGGCCCAGAGGAGCACAGACCCCCCCTTCCCCTGGGGTACGAGGGGGCAGCGGGGTGGCCCCTTGTGTGGAGGGCGTGCGTGTATTTAGGGGAGAGGCCCCTGGGGTACCAGGTGTGGGTAGGACTCTGTTGCGGGGGTTGGGGCTTCCCATGGTGTGTCTGACAGGCAGTGGGGTGGTAGCAGACGCAACAAGGTTTGCCGGTTTAAGGAGGGTGGCTGTGATTTTTGGGGGGGCAGGGGAGAAGCCTGGACACCCCCCCTTCAGCTTCCAACAACAAGAGGTCCCCCTCCATTCCCTCAGGTTTCATTGTCTCCATGTCACAAAGGTGCCTGGAGGGTGACCTGGTTTATCAGCCAGGCGAGCTGGACTGTGCAAGGCCAATGAGTGCTGCAGCTTGGAACCCAGCAACCCTCCCCATGTCCCCTCTGTGCCTTTCAGCCCTTGTAACGGGAAGTTGGTTTATGATGTTTTTGGAGCTTCCACAATTTCCAGGCTCCAAAACTTAGCTGTAGAAACTTTGTATGCAACTTGCTGCCAAAATCCTAAACTAAAAGTTCTTTTCCCCTTTTATTTCCCCCCTCCTCTATTTTGTTTTCACAGACAACGGGCACCTAAAGCTAGTCCCGGATTGAGCAAAGAAAGACACCCTAATGACTAAATCTCAGGCTCACTATGGATTTGACTAAAATGGGTCTGATACAGCTCCAGAACCCCAGCCACCCCACAGGGCTCCTGCAGAAAGCCAACCAAATGCGCCTTGCAGGGACTCTGTGTGATGTGGTCATCATGGTGGACAATCAGGAATTCCATGCTCACAGGACAGTGTTGGCTTGCACTAGTAAAATGTTTGAAATCCTGTTCCACCGCAACAGTCAGCATTATACCCTGGACTTTCTTTCACCAAAGACTTTTCAGCAGATATTGGAATACGCTTACACGGCCACCCTCCAGGCTAAAGTTGAAGACTTGGATGATCTTCTTTACGCAGCCGAGATCCTAGAAATAGAATATCTGGAAGAACAGTGTCTGAAGATCCTGGAGACCATTCAGGCGTCTGAGGAGAATGATACAGAAGTCAACATGACAGATGGTGGCACTGAAGAGGAGGAGGATAGGAAATCTAGGTACATCAAAAACCTGTTCATCTCCAAGCATTCCAGTGAAGAGAGTAGTTATGCCAGCATGGCCAGTCAGAGTTTAACGGGGGCAATGGTGGAGCAGAGCCCATCTGTCTCGACTTCATTTGGACTCTCCGCGATGAGCCCCACGAAGGCTGCAGTGGATAGTTTGATGACCATTGGGCAGTCATTATTGCAAGGAGCTCTACAGCAGAACGCCTCCGAGGACTTGCATTCCACGAGCAGCCGCCACCCCAGTCTCTCCGAAGTAAAAACAGAAGTGATGCAAGTGGAGGAGGCGTCTAGCCACGAAAGCCCAAGGACGGCAGAGTCCAGCACTTCTGGAGGGGACAAGTCGGATGACAAAAGCAAGGAAGGCCCTGGTACTCCCACGCGTAGCAGTGTTATCACAAGTGCCCGTGAACTTCATTATGCCCGGGATGAGAATGCAGAGCAGCCCCTCGAGTTGGGCCAAGGAGTGCCAGTCGGACCGGAGCACTCGATTTCTCAAAGCGAGAAACACCTGAGTATATATTCAGTGCTACCAAATCACAAAACTGACTCGATGCTCAGCATGCCATCCTCCATGACATCGGCTCTTCACATGCAGCCAGCTCTTGCCGTGTCCATGGACTTCAGCGCTTACGGGGGGCTTCTGCCTCAAGGCTTTATTCAAAGGGAGCTGTTCAGTAAGCTGGGTGAATTGGCAGCTGGCATGAAAACTGAAAACCGAGCCATTGGTGAACAGTGCAGTGTTTGTGGCGCAGAACTGCCGGACAACGAGACGGTGGAACAACACAGGTAAGTCCTCTGCACTCGTTTAGTCTTGATGTGGCAGCACGTCTCTCCTGACATTTGATGGTTTGTGTCACAATCAGCTTGTTTTCTATTTTTGTTCAGTTGAATTTAGTGCTGGCTGGTTTGACCCCAGTAGAGGAAAATGAATTCCATCTAGGGGTAATTCACCCCTGTGCATAGGGCTCTCATGAAGCCTGTGCATCACTCTTCAGTTCCTGCTTAAGACATCCAGAAGTGGGACCTTAGTGGTGCATAGGCCTCTTGCTGGCCCTTTGCACATGTGTGAATTTACTGTATTCTCAACTGGGTAAAGCATTAACAAACTGCAAACTAAATAGGGGAGGGCCCAGGGAGACGTTTATGATGGGGACCCTTGTCCGTGCTCTGAGCCGCACCAACTTACTTAGCCAAGACAATGAGTTACGGTCACTACCCGGCCAGATTTGAGCCCACAACCCAGATATGAAAGACTCTATATCTTATTACCAGTTCCAAAAGATGTGCACTTCCTTCTTTGGGTTGAAAAGAGGATGGCACTCAGCTCAGGCAATAGTCTGTCCTTTTCTTGCTCCATGTCCTAACATGCATTCAGATGCCAGGGCTAGGTATGTGCTGTAATTTTTTTTTTTTTTAAACATTGGGATGAGGCATGTTGGATTCTCACATCCTGCTCCAGAGACTCTGGGATTTTTCTCTCTGCCTTCTGGATTGTTAATTTTACACTCTATATCAATCTCATGATGCCGCTCCCCATTGAGTAACTGCGTATGAAATACTTACCTTCTTGCTTCTCAAACAAGTGTCAGATGATGACTTTGGTGTCATAGTGATCAAAGCTTGAACCAAGAGAACGTCCAGAGTAACTACACTGTCAGTGCCAAGTATCAGCGGGGTAGCCGTATTAGACTGTATCCACAAAAACAACGAGGAGTCCGGTGGCACCTTAAAGACTAACAGATTTATTTAGGCATAAGCTTTCGTGGGTTTCTTCAGATACCCACAAAAGCTTATG